GAACACCTGGCGGAAGAACCTGTCCAGATGATCTTCAACTCCCACCTCCGGGAGAGCTTCGACCGCGTCCCGAGGGCGGAGGGGGACATTGACTCCGAATGGGCCTTGTTCCGCTCTGCCATTGTCGAGGCAGCTGTTGCGAGCTGTGGCTGCAAGGCCACTGGGGCCAGTCGCGGCGGTAATCCCCGAACCCGCTGGTGGACGCCAGAGGTGAGGGGAGCCATCAGGCTGAAGAAGGAGGCCTACAGGGCATGGTTGGTCTCTGGGTCTCCGGAAGCAGCTGACGGGTACCGGCAGGCCAAGCGGAGCGCAGCGGTGGCAGTTGTGGAGGCAAAAACTCGGGCGTGGGAGGAGTTCGGTGAGGCCATGGAGGAAGACTATCGATCGGCTCCAAAGAGGTTCTGGCAAATCGTCCGGCGCCTCAGGGGGATAGGCGGCAACTTGCTCACACTGTTTACAGTGGGGGCGGGGAGCTGCTGACATCAACTGGGGACATTGTCGGGCGGTAGAAGGAATACTTTGAGGAGCTCCTCAATCCCACCAACACGTATTCGAGTGAGGAAACAGAGACGGGGGTCTCGGGGGCGGGTCATCCAATTTCTGGGGCAGAAGTTGTTGAGGTAGTGAAACAACTCCGAGGCAGCGGAGCCCCAGGGGTGGATGAAATTCGTCCTGGATATCTCAAGGCTCTGGATGTTGTAGGGCTGTTCTGGCTGACACGCCTCTGCAACATTGCGTGGACATCGGGGGCATACCCATGCTTTCAACATTCCTTGAAGAACTCTTTGTTCCAAAAAGGGTTCATTGGATCAAAAATGTTCTTACTGGAACCCTTAGTGTTACAAAGAACCCTTGAAAAACCCTTCCTTCAAAAAAGGGTTTTTCAGAAGCAAATGGTTCTGGATAGAACCTCAGCCCTTCAAGAAGAACCCTTATTTCTAAGAGTGTTCCATTCTTGATAATAATGTTCAGAATTTATATGTATCCATAAATTGATATATTTAACAACACTACTTGCCAGTCAAATTAGAGTAAACCCAGATTATAATACAATCCAAATGCATTAAACAAACCACCAACTGTCACTTTTTGTGAATGACATAACATGTCTAAAATGTCTCTTCCTCCTTTGTTGCGTTTAATTGATACTTTTGGAAACCTTTCCGAAAACACTATTAATTGGAAAAAGATTTGCTCCCAGTAGTTTCTCTGCTTAACAGTTTTAAAGGCATTGGTGCTTTACTGACTCTCCTTAACTGTATGATATGTCACTCATAATCTATCACAGCAAAGTAGATCAGCCGCCGGACATTAAATGTTGCCAGTGTGTGTTGTGCTTTTATCAATGTTTTTTATCAATCTAAGCTTGTGTAGTCAACCCTCTGTTATGTAGCATTAAATTATCTACCTAGCTAATGTTAACAGCAAGACATTGTTGTCATAAAAACCAAACCCACAAGCAGCATGTTATAAGCAAAAACTCTATGTGGACAGATCTCCTAAAGTGGCCAGAAGATTAGAAAAACATCTGTAACAATGGCAGTAAGCTAACTTTATAAGAGGTTAAAGTTAGTTAAAAAGTGGTTTTGGCCTCCCTCATTTTAATATATTACTGGACTGCAGACTTCAGAGTTTTGTCTCTGGCACAAAATGCTACTGGCATACCCAACTCCAATAAGTACACAGCTTCTTGGCTAAAGATCAAAGAGAAGGCCTGTAGGTATTTCTTCCTGTGCTTTGAACAATCAAGTCAAACAAAAAATTCTATCATACATAACCAGCCCTGTCGGCCCAACTGTTTAAGAACATGGAGGACAATTCACCCATTTCTGGGATGATTTGCCCAAAGTCTACATGGAACGCCCTGTCTGCAAAAACAATACTTTCCCTCCAGGGCCCTATTTCAGAAAGCAGGATTAGTGAAAACTCAGAGTATGTTGAGCCTAAGATGAGGGAAACTCTTGACTTTTCCATTTCACAAAGCCAGTTCAGCGTAACCCTGAGTCAGTTACTATGGCAACCTGCTGGCTTGCAGGTTTGCTTCATCTAAGCCTGAGGCTGATCGCCCGCTGAGCACGTAGCAGGAAGGAGAAACATTGCGTGTCCTTTTGTGAATTAAGTCTGGGCACAGTTTATTCAGAGGCGGTGATTAGACCCTGTTTTTCTCCCCAGAGGAGTGTCTATATGAAAGATACAATTTCACATCACACTCTATTATTTATCTTAACAATCTGTTCCACCCACATATATCAAATATTACGCATCATGGATTTACATTATCACGGGGGCTAATTTTATGCATTGCCCTTTGATTCTTCAGCAATGACAGTTTTCTTTATAACATCAGAGACACTGAACACATCAGCAAGACAGCGGTACGTCGGGCCACGAGAAAAGTGACTTTGGCTCTGAAAAGACTTTTGCCCATTTTAGTGGTTTTCCCTGGGTATAAATCAGAGAGGATTATCAAATAAAAGTTCCACAGGGCAGCGGTAGTTTAGTGGATGGAGCGAGCACCCTGAGGGTTCAATCCCAGCCGGCAGTCTTTTGCTACATTTCTTTCCCTCTCTCTCCCCCCTTAATGCTATGCTGTCCTGCCATTAAAGGCAACAAAAGCCCAAAAAATAGTCTTTAAGAAAAAAGAGGAATTCCACAGAACTGCAGATTTGTCAGTTTTAATAAGAAATTGATCTATGCGGATACATTATGCAGTGATTTATGAATACTTTTCGTATATGTAAAGATTCCACAGTGTAATTGTCTCAATTATGGGATTCACATTCCCATCATAGCTCCATCTGAGAATAAAGGAGATTACGTGAATACGAAGTCATTTCACAGCAATTCAGCAATTCAGTTAACCTCAGTCTAATATTGACAGAATGAAAGTCTGGACAATATCTTTGTGTCTGATTTTGAGTTGCTGCCCAGTGCATTTGGGCTCCATCAGATTACAGCTGAATATCAGGATATAGAAAATTATGTTAAAATATATGAACACTGTTAAGATAAAAAAAAAAAACAGTTCTATATTTTCTGTATATTAGACACGCTCATCACATCACATTACATAACGTCACTTCACATTACCTATTAACATGCCCTATAGTGTTTTTTCCATCACACCTCACTCTTCATTCATGGTCATTAAAATCTGCGATTCAGTTGGCATGAAATAAAGTGGCTCTGCTTTTAACTCCGCTTTCTGCCATGATAATCATGGTAACTGCACTCCACTGATAATGGCTTGTGGTGCTCGCCATTAACAAGCTTCCCTCAGGCTGAACATACTTAGAGTTGATTGAACTGATTCTGATCAGCTGTTCTGAAACCGAAAACTCAGTCAACTCGGAGATCAGGAGTAGGCTCAGAGATGGTTGAGCCTGCTTTCTGAAATAGGGCCCAGGATAAGATGATTCCATTTTTTTTCTGCCTGGAAAGATAACATTGTCATAATCAGAGATTTATATATTGACTGTAAACTGTCATTCTTCCAACAATTGCAACAGTCTTATGGCCTACCATCAACGTACTTCTTTACATACTTTCAAATAAGAAGTAAGGACTCCATTCTGAAAATATGCCTGAACACACCATACTTCACAGCGTTGTTTGCCATGATCCTAACAGTAACAGGCCAATCTCTTCTCCATATTCATCTTTGCAAGCCCCTGTTGTATAGTCTGATGGTAAATTAAGGAATGCTTGGGTAGAAGAGTTGGGTACTGAAATCACTAATGACACATGGAAGGAAATTCTTATGTAGACAGACAATAGAGCTATACTGTAACTGTTAGACATTGACTCATACAACTCAGGATAGTTCATAGACTCCACAACATAAAATCAAGGCTCTATGCTCTATAGCTTAGCCTGTCCCCACTGTGCAATAAGTGTAAATAGAATACAGGTATGCTTGAGTCTAATAATCAATTGTTTGCATCTCACTGTAAAAGCCTCCTGAGTACTTAACTAAGGACTGTTCGTGCCGAGTCATTTTGTAAGAGCAGCAACTAATAATATAAATGCTGTAACTATGCTAACACAGACAAAATATCAGAGATTTCATTGTTTTGTCATCATTTCACTTGAAGGAAAACAAAGTAGTATGCAAATTAAAATGTTGACCTGATGCTGATAAAAAGTCAGAGGATCACCAATGTTATTACCAATTATTCTCTGGGTAACATGACAATCTATGCAATTGTTGTTGAGATATTTCAGTATAGACATATAGGCTGGATTAGATAGTGGGCAAAGGGTTCTCTAGACCCTAGGCTTTCTGTGCATTGGATGGTGTAGCAACTATATCGTTGAAAACAGCGACTAATCGGCTAAGTAGGCTCTTAACTGTGATGTGTTAAAAAATATCCATAAGTCCAGATAAGTTTTATGGTGTTTTTTTAACAAAAGACTGACAATAACTCTATTGGAATAACTCAGGCAAAACAAAATGAGAAGTCAATCAACAGAAAATACTGGAGCCAAATTCATCTTCTTTGTTTCAGTGCTGCCACAAGAGTAACTGTACAGATAAAATAATGTGAAATCACACCCCCATGCCTATTACAACTACCAGAAGTGAAAGTGACCAAAAAACATGTACACCTAAACAAAGCACAAACAACAGAGGCTAAATACACATATTGGCTCTTATAGATGTTTTTTGCTTATTCAACTGAAAATTACTTTTGAACGGCCTAAAATGGAACCTGCTTCATTACCTGGTTACCACCTGATGTATCTCAGTTACCACACAGCAAACCAAGGAGTACTGTATACCACAATAGGAACACATGCGTGGGGGTTTAAAAGGCCCCCCAGCAGGTTCATCCTGTCATGGTCAGGATCAAAGTGGTGGACCAAATCAATGACATTGTCAGCCCTAAAGGGACTAGCATGACTAACTGAATATGTGCATAGATCATCAAGTACCAGCTGACATATATTGACATAAAATATGGCTAACATCTCTTTATGCTTCTGACTTTCTCACACAGAGGCTTCCATCCTCTCCTATGATGGCAGTATGTATATGAAGGTGGTGATGCCAACCATCATGCACACTGAAGCTGAGGATGTCTCCCTGCGTTTTCGCTCACAGCGGGCTTATGGCCTCCTCATGGCAACCACCTCCCGAGACTCAGCTGACACACTCAGGCTAGAGTTGGATGGGGGTCGCGTCAAACTCACAGTCAACCTAGGTATCGTATGCCCCCCGCCCCCCCACATCTGCCTCCACATCTCCACCTTTACCGTTGAGCGGTGACTTCTCCTCCCCTTTCATTTCTATCTTTTTGTGCACAGTCTTTTCATAAGTTACTCATCACTATGTTCCCTTTAAGGTCTCTACAAACTTTAGAACATAATTAAGAGAGTTTTTATCTTTTATGCATGGGTGTTAATGCAGTTTGTGTACACAGATAACCACAGACTGCTTACTGAATACAACTATTTACACGATAACAGCTTAGGCTACACTATCATAACTTCTCTTTTTCAATGGAATACATGTCTGGCCCATCTTTGAAACAGACAAACTATAGTCATATCCATATCTATGTTTACAAAACTTTTGAGACAGTCACAGCACAATAAGCAGAATATACATTATAATGTACAGATACTGGGCTTTAAAGTTTGGTTCCCAATAAAGTCCTTTTAAAGAACAAAGTGTGCTGAGACTCTCTAAGAGGTGACTGTCACCAACTATGCCCAGTGGTCTTCAGTCCATAATTCAACAGGACATTAGAAGAAACTATTCTTGTCTCTCTCTAACCTCATTTTTCTGTCTGACATTAAGTAATTTCTCTGTCACCTTCCTGTTGTTCTGGGTGGTTGTGTTCTTAGCTAATGATGGTATCTTTTCTGTAAGTCTATATTTTTCAGTGTTTTGTTTTTATGTTTACCTGTCAACTCCATTTTCATCATGCCTTGTCAAAAGATGGTATTCACCCCTTCAAAGGCCTTAAGCCTGCGGCCCGTCAGGCGAACAGCCCGAGAACAGAGCCCAGCAAAACCTACAGCTGGCTGCAACCCCAAATACTTTCAAACACGTTTAATATAATATGTCAAAGATTAAAAATGAGTCACACACCTCAATTTATATTTTGCATATGCCCAGTAAAAATCATAAAATATAAGATTAATGTTGATATTAGCTGGTTTGACAATCCACATGTAGATAATTCATTCACTGATTATATAAATTCATGTAAGTTATATTCTAGATTTCAGTCAACATGCTCATGTTGTGCAGCTCAAATTCTCTTAGCTTGTCTGTTAATCTGTGTTATCTCCTACAGAACATTTGTAAAAGTCTTAATATTTTTAGATCCACCCTCTGATGTAGCTTAGTGACAGATCTAGGCATAGGATAGTACTCAAGATGTGATGATTGGGGTTCCTGTGCCTCTGCATGGTGCTGGTGCTGATTGGATCGTGGCTGTTTGCTCCCACTTTTCTGTTGCGGTTGACGACACATGAAACCACCAGCCACATGGTGACCAACCCCCACTGTCTTCACAGCTGTCTACAGCAGTTATTCTGGTCTCAGTGGGACTGTTCAGATATGATTCTGATTGTCTATCACACTATTGTTTTAAAATGTAATAAACAGTTTGTTGTTTTAATGACGAATCAAATTGAATCAGACTTTTCAAAGATCCATGGCTCTAATATTGATGGCTACTACCACCTTGCTGGTGCAGAGGTTTTGGAGCCAGAGACTTTGACTTTTTACATCTGCATATTTAAACCTAAGGTGGAACAGTCAGTGTTTGGTTGGAAAACTCATGTAGCTGGTACCACAAGCGGCCATTTTACTGTTAATACTGTGCCTAAACAATCAATCAATATAAACTCTGGTAACAAAAGAGCATAAGCTCTAGAAAAGCAGCTTTTTATCATCCAGCACATTTTTATGACAAATCCATGCATTATCCTTTGTATTTTGAATTATATTTTTGGAAATCTTTAAAATCTATATTTTATTTTATGGTAATTTATTTAGATTTGTTATAAAGTTAACTATAAATACTAAATACTGAATAAAATGGCTGCCTTCCTGCATGTGTACGTCCCCGGAAGGGTGGACTTTTTGTTTTTGGATGTCTGCAGCAGTAACCTTGAAGGATGCAATTTCATCTGTCATTTATTCTTCCCCATCTAGACTGTATCAGGATAAACTGTAACTCCAGTAAGTTAACACTCAAGTTTCATTTTGCTTTCTATATTGATGGTATGTTGATGTTAGTTTGTTTTTGTTTGTTTATTTTTGTTTTTTGAGTTTAAGGAAATGTGTTTTCTGAAATGGGAGCCCTGCTTTGCCCTGCACTTTCTCTTAATCCTATCATGTGGAGGATCAGTTTGTTCAGTTGGTTTGACTTCCCATAATTGAATGGTAACCATCAGAATACCCACAGTCAAATAAAATGAGTGGTGATTTGTTTTAATTATCAGACATATCTTAACTTCTTTATAAATTAACCATTTTATTTTCTGCTGATGATATAATTGTCCCATTCTCTATTTGAAATTAAAAATAAAAACATTCTTACACCATTTAGTCTTGTAAAAACAGTAGTAGCACTATATATTGTATTTTCTCTTTGCCATAGTCCCAACAAAGAGAAATAACATCATGAGGACACATTCTGAGTGAAATGAAGGGAAAGTTCCACATTGATTTTTGGGCATTGCTCAATACCAAATGATGCCTACAGAAATGAATTTGAAATGAATATGTTAAAACATGATGATATACATTACATGTGTGGAATTGACATATAGTGTAGAAAAATATGTGTA